ATTTTTTTTTTTGTCTTTTAGACAACTGGTCTGCAGGGAGAGGGCGAGCATCTCACTTCATAGCATCACAAACACACAGTGTAGTAGGCTATCCCTAGAAACAGGTTTCAACTGAAGCATGGCATGTATAAAATATTGACAATATAAAACAACTACAAAGCAGGCCATTCAAGTTAGTGCACTCTCTACAATTACAGTGGGGGAAAAAAGTATTTAGTCAGCCACCAATTGTGCAAGTTCTCCCACTTAAAAAGATGAGGCCTGTAATTTTCATCATAGGTCCATGTCAACTATGACAGACAAAATGAGAAAAAAAAAATCCAGAAAGGCACATTGTAGGATTTTTTATGAATTTATTAGCAAATTATGGTGGAAAATAAGTATTTGGTCAATAACAAAAGTTTCTCAATACTTTGTTATATACCCTTTGTTGGCAATGACACAGGTCAAACGTTTTCTGTAAGTTTTCACAAGGTTTTCACACACTGTTGCTGGTATTTTGGCCCATTCCTCAATGCAGATCTCCTCTAAAGCAGTGATGTTTTGGGGCTGTCGCTGGGCAACCCGGACTTTCAACTCCCTCCAAAGATTTTCTATGGGGTTGAGATCTGGAGACTGGCTAGGCCACTCCAGGACCTTGAAATGCTTCTTACGAAGCCACTCCTTCGTTGCCCGGGCGGTTTCAGCCACGTTTCATCTTCAATGCCCTTGCTGATGGAAGGAGGTTTTCACTCAAAATCTCACGATACATGGCCCCATTCATTCTTTCCTTTACACGGATCAGTCGTCCTAGTCCCTTTGCAGAAAAACAGCCCCAAAGCATGATGTTTCCACCCCCATGCTTCACAGTAGGTATGGTGTTCTTTGGATGCAACTCAGCATTCTTTGTCCTCCAAACACGACGAGTTGAGTTTTTACCAAAAAGTTATATTTTGGTTTCATCTGACCATATGACATTCTCCCAATCCTCTTCTGGATCATCCAAATGCACTCTAGCAAACTTCAGACGGGCCTGGACATGTACTGGCTTAAGCAGGGGGACACGTCTGGCACTGCAGGATTTGAGTCCCTGGCGGCGTAGTGTGTTACTGATGGTAGGCTTTGTTACTTTGGTCCCAGCTCTCTGCAGGTCATTCATTAGGTCCCCCCCGTGTGGTTCTGGGAATTTTGCTCACCGTTCTTGTGATCATTTTGACCCCACGGGGTGAGATCTTGCATGGAGCCCCAGATCGAGGGAGATTATCAGTGGTCTTGTATGTCTTCCATTTCCTAATAATTGCTCCCACAGTTGATTTCTTCAAACCAAGCTGCTTACCTATTGCAGATTCAGTCTTCCCAGCCTGGTGCAGGTCTACAATTTTGTTTCTGGTGTCCTTTGACAGCTCTTTGGTCTTGGCCATAGTGGAGTTTGGAGTGTGACTGTTTGAGGTTGTGGACAGGTGTCTTTTATACTGATAACAAGTTCAAACAGGTGCCATTAATACAGGTAACGAGTGGAGGACAGAGGAGCCTCTTAAAGAAGAAGTTACAGGTCTGTGTGAGCCAGAAATCTTGCTTGTTTGTAGGTGACCAAATACTTTTTTTCCACCATAATTTGCAAATAAATTCATAAAAAATCCTACAATGTGATTTTCTGGATTTTTATTTCTCAATTTGTCTGTCATAGTTGACGTGTACCTATGATGAAAATTACAGGCCTCTCTCATCTTTTTAAGTGGGAGAACTTGCAAAATTGGTGGCTGACTAAATACTTTTTCCCCCCCACTGTAGCTTCAGTTAGAGGAGATGGAGGCGACTGAAATGAAAACATATGCTTAAAGTACTTTGTTTCCTCCTTCAAAATATCATTTGGTGAATCATTTGTAACCAGTTTCAGTTAATTATTTTTGGTAGCATTCCTATGTTGAAGATTAAAAAATAATTTGGTTTGCTTTATTTTGTATAATATATTACACTTGATCTTTCTTGAATAAGTTTCTCCATTTCTTTTAGTTTTTCCTCTAATTTATTGTGAGCCTCTATGTTACAGTTTTTATTGCCATCTATCTGTTCTGTTAGACTTTATTTCCTTTGTTAGTATAAACTCTTTTGACCTAAATTGCTTTTGTTTTCGAGATGAGTACTGAATTGCATGGCCTCTAAAGGCACATTTAAAGGTGTCCCATACAATAAGGGGATTTGCTGTACCTATGTTATGTCGGAAAAAGTCAGTTATAAATTCCTTTGTCCTAGTTAAAAATAAATTATCATCCAAAAGGCTTTGATTAAATTTCCAATATCCTCGCCCACGTGGAAATTCAGTAAGAGTAATGTATATGCCAATTATATGATGGTCCGACCGCATTCTGTCCCCATCAACACTTTTTAAACTTTTTGTGCCAACGAGAATGAGATAAGAAAGAAGTCAAGACGACTAGCTTGATTGAGTCTCTGCCATGTATATCTCACTAGATCAGGATATTTAAGCCTCCATATATCTACTAGTTCTCATGTATCCATGACATTCACGATTTCCTTAAGAGCATGTGGGTGATTGTTTGTGGTGTGATTTCCTTTACGGTCCATTGAGCTATTTAAAACGGTTTTATAATCTCCCACCATAATAATATAGTCTTGAATTGCTTGCAGGGTTGATAATTTATTATATATAATTGTCAAAGAAGTGTGGATCATCATTATTTGGTCTGTAAAGGTTAATGAGCCATATCTGTTTATGGTCCAATAACATATTTAAAATAATCCATCTACCTTGCGTATCTGTCTGGACAATTTGCACATTCGGCTCTAAATTACTGTTAATTAATATCATCACCCTCTTGAGTTTCTTTGCCCATGGGAGAAGTATATCTCGCCCCCCCATTCCTTTTCCCACGCAACTTCATCTAGAATTGTTGAATGAGTTTCCTGTAAACAATATATATTATATTCCTTCTCTTTGAGCCATGTAAATATTGTTCTTATTTTGTTATTATCTGCTAAGCCATTACAATAACTGGCTATACTTATTTCACCATATACCATAATGAGATACACGTTTCAAATCTATTTATCATTATATAGATTTGTAAATTTACCAATAAAAAATACCATAGTGATTGAGTGTCCATATAGCTGTACCATGATATTTGCATTGCTACTCAGTAACCCTCCAATTGTTCTCCACTAATTCCCCCGCTAAAGCCCCTCCCCATCCCAAGTTGGGCCGTCATCCCAATGATCGGCATACCACCCCCGTCCCTCCGGATCCCTAGGGCCCCGAGAGGCCAGGACCCATCCATCGAAAACAGCACACAGTGCCACCCACAAAACAGAAGCAGGTCAACCGCCAAAAGCATTTCCAATGCTCTCACCTCATATACATATATACAGTGGGGAGAACAAGTATTTGATACACTGCCGATTTTGCAGGTTATCCTACTTACAAAGCATGTAGAGGTCTGTAATTTTTATCATAGGTACACTTCAACTGTGAGAGACAGAATCTAAAACAAAATTCTAGAAAATCACATTGGTGAGAGGATCCCACAGGATCCCACAGGTGAAGAAGCCGGATGTGGAGTTTCTGGGCTGGCGTGGTTACACTTAGTCTGCGGTTGGGAGGCCGGTTGGACGTAATGCCAAATTCTCTAAAATGAAGTTGAGGCGGCATATGGTAGAAAAATGAACATTAAATTATCTGGCAACAGCTCTGGTGGCCATTCCTGCAGTCAGCATGCCAATTGCACGCTCCCTCAAAACTTGAGACATCTGTGTCATTGTGTTGTGTGACAAAACGGCACATTTTAGAGTGGCCTTTTAGAGTGGTCATGCTGTTTAATCAGCTCCTTGATATGCCACACCTGTCAGGTGGATGGATTATTTTGGCAAAGAAGAAATTAGCTTCTTGTGCGTACGGAAAATTTCAGGGATATTTTATTTTAGCTCATGAAACATGAGACCAACACTTTATATGTTGCGTTTATATTTTTGTTCAGTATACATGTAGGTAGGGGTAAAAGCAACAAGGCAATAAAGATGGATAATAAACAGAGTAGCAGCAGCCTATGTGAAGTATGAAAGTGTGTCTCTGTGTGAGACATCAATATGCATGTGTTTTGTGTGTGTGAGCATATGTAGTGTGTGTTAGAGTGTCAGTGTAGTATATGTGAGTGTGTGGGTAGAGTCCAGTGAGTGTGCATAGAGCCGGTGCAAAAGAGTGTGTGCAAATAAAAAGGGGGTCAAAGCAAATAGTCCGGGTAGCCATTTGATCAACTGTTCAGCAGTCTTATGGCTTGGGGGTAGAAGCTGATCAGGAGCCTTTTGGTCCCGAAATTGGCGCTCCGGTACCACTTGCTGTGCAGTAGCAGAGAGAACAGTCTATGACTTGGGTGGCCGGAGTATGGCAATTTTTTGTCATTTCGTCTGACACCGCCTAGTATAGAGGTCCTGGATCACACAAATGTTTTGACTGGGAAAGGCCATGCCACATGAATGCCCAACATTACAGCCATTCAAATGTCAATCTATTACTGTGGTGGTCAACTACGGGTGCATCCCAAATGTCCCCCTATTCCCTATATAGTGCACTACTTTTGACCAGACCCTATGGGTCCTAGTGCACTACATAGAGAATAGGGTGCCATTCGGGAAGTAGCCTAAATATCAGCCCATACACACGGACAGCAGCAAAAAAACAGGGGTGGCAGGGAAAGAATCGATCCAACACTATGTCTTCAATAATTTCATGCTTGGAGACTTTTCCAATTACCTTTCTAAAACACCTACCAAAGTCAGGTTCACTCCTTTTTTCATACAGCTCCTACTAGCTAGCTAAAAAAAACATCATTCACTGCCGTTTGAGCTGGGACTGTGTGTGTTTGTGGTGTAAACTTGAACTGTGTGTGTATATAGACGTGGACTGTGTGCTTGTCTATGGAACGGTGTGTGTGAGCAAGCATGCGTATGTCTGAGTGTGTGTTTTAATGTGTGTGCGCGTGCAGATAAACCTATAACCTCAGGCCCTACTCACCAGCTGTGGGGGCCGTGGGGCCAGCTCCTCTCAGGGGACCAGTGGTGCCAGCCATGGTAGAGGTGATGCGACTCAGGCCCCTGCCCAGCCTCCTGAACAAGGGGTCTGTGACCGTGTTGTCCTCGTCGTGTAGTGGTAGTGTCCGGGGCCTAAAGTGCCGCCATCGGCTCAACTTAATGTTCAACAGTATCTGACTGAGGTCCGCAGAAGAGGAAGAGGAGGAATAAGAAGAGGTTCTGTCCGAGGTATTCGTTTGTGAGGTACTAGCAAACTTGTCTGTGACTGGAGAGTGGGCAGGTAGGTCAAGCATTTCCGAGTCCAGCCCATGAAATACATTATCAAAGTCTGTGTGTGCCCTGTCCAGCAAAACCCTGAGGGAGAGAGGAGAGGGAACAGGGTTTAGTCCTTCTGTTAGCAAGGCATTCATTTATGCCATTGGTCCCAGAAAGCTATTAAGTTGATCTCACAGAGGGTCTCACAGTTCTTGCATCCACAGCTCTGTCTATGAATTGGAGAGTAGTTACATTTCTCCTGCCCCATCACTCAGCTGTTTACCAAAACAGTGGCGGGGGTAAACCCGCTTTGTTGTTTGAATCCCAGATTGCCCCTTTTACCCTCCAGTAACCTACCTGCCCCCTCGTCCCAGGCGTCGTCGTGCCATGCCCAGGCAGCATGGTGGCACTGTGAGGGTGGTGAGGCAGTAGCGGTAACGAGTGTCTCCCAGACCACCCTCTGACGGACTGACCCACGGCCAGCTGCCGCCGTGGTCCAACCGAGACTAGTGACAGAGACACAGGATGAGCCATTAGACATAGGACACAACTTTTAGACATGGTCCACTAGCTCAGTAAATAGAGATTGGCGTTTGTAACGCCAAAATAGTGGGTTCGATTCACAAGACCACCCATATGTAAAAACATTATGCACTCATGACTATGTTGCTTTGGATAAAAGCTTCCACTAAATGGCATATATTATTATTTATAACCCGAGTTACAATGCATGGCCAGACAGAATGTGAACAATGTGAATACGTGTGTGTTCACTTTCCTACATTTATGTTTTGAATTACACATACACAAAAGTATGTGGACACCCCTTCAAATATTGCTGACAGGTGTATAAAATCGAGCACACAGACATGCAATCGCAATTGACAAACATTGGCAGTAGAGTGGCCTTACTGAAGAGCTCAGTGACTTAACGTGGCACCGTGATAGGATGCTACCTTTCCAACAAGTCAGTTAGTCAAATTTCTGCCCTGCTAGAGCTGCCACAGTCAACTGTAAGTGCTGTTATTGTGAAGTGGAAACGTCTAGGAGCAACAACGGCTCAGCCGCGAAATGGTAGGCCACACAAGCTCACAGAACAAACCGCGGAGTACTGAAGTGTGTAAAAATCGTCTGCCCTGAGATGCAACACTCACTACCGAGTTCCGAACTGCCTCTGGACGCAACGTCAGCACAAGAACTGTTTGTCAGGAGCGTCATGAAATGGGTTTCCATGGCCAAGTAGCCGCACACAAGCCTAAGATCACCATGCGCAACGCCAAGTGTCTGCTGGAGTGGTGAAAATCCCGCCGCCATTGGACTCTGGAGCAGGGGAAACGCATTCACTGGAGTGATGAATCACGCTTCACCATCTGGCAGTCCAACGGACTAATCTGGGTTTGGCAGATGCCAGGAGACCACTACCTGCCCCAATGCATAGTGCCAACTGTAAAGTTTGGTGGAGGAGGAATAATGGTCTGGGGCTGTTTTCCATGGTTCGGCCAACTTTGTGGGTACAGTTTGGGGAAGGCCCTTTCCTGTTGCAGCATGACAATGCCCCCGTGCACAAAGCGAGGTCCATACAGAAATGGTTTGTCGAGATCGGTGTGGAAGAACTTAACTGGCCTGTACAGAGCCCTGACCTCAACCCCATTGAACACCTTTTGGATGAATTGGAACGCTGACTGCGAGCCAGGCCTAATCGCCCAACAGCAGTGTCCGACCTCACAACGCTCATGACTGAATGGAAACAAGTCCCCGCAGCAATGTTCCAACATCTAGTGGAAAGCTTTCCCAGAAGAGTGGAGGCTGTTATAGCAGTAAAGGGGAATGAGCTGTTCGACGAGCAGGTGTCCATATACTTTTGGTCATGTAGTGTATAATGTACTGATTTTGTGTATTTTGTATGCTGACCACACAAAAGGAAAGTGTAAATGTACAGCAAGGTTATCGTATTTTGTATTTTATACTCACAGCATAATATTGACAGCCTGCTTTCCTCCGGAAGGAAAAGGAACCATCTGGGTCATTCTCCTCCTCAGCTTCTGAGGAGCCTGAGTGCATCTGGAGAGTGGGAGAGGAGGAAAGACCGTTCAGTCACACGTCACCAAAACGGCCATTCTTATGCCCAAATAAAGAGATTTCCGCCACAGATGTCCAAGGCCCATTCCCAAATCCACCCTAAGCACTCGTGGAGATTTGACAGGTGACAATAATATGGTCATAGCTCCACCCTGCCCTCTGATTGGCTAGGTGGAAGTCTCACCATATTGCTTATACCAATCAAATCCTCTCAGATCTCCAAGTACATAGGACGTAGGGTCTAGGGGTCCATTTGGGACGCAGCCCATGTCTAACCGCTCTGCCTACCTGGGAGTGCAGCTCATCGTCTGAGCTGGGGAAGTCATACTGGTGGACATCCTTAGCGTTGAACACAGAGGGGCCAAAGTGGTTGGGGGCAGCAGCTGACAGGGGTAAGACTTTAGGCTTCCTCTCATACTTCCTCTTCTGCCTGACGACCTCAGTCTTCTCCGGCTAGAAGGGAGGGAAGGACAGACATTTCATTTCATTTCATCACTCACTTGCTGTCAAACACTTTGGGGAAAGCAGGAGGAAACCTTTGAGTCATTGGCCCGTATTCACAAAGTATCTCTGAGTAGAGGTGCTGATCTAGGATCAGGTCCCTTTCTTAATCTAGGATCAGGTCCCCTGTAGCTCAGATGGTAGAGCATGGCGCTTGCAACGCCAGGGTTGTGGGTTCGTTTCCCACGGGGGGCCAGTATGAAAATGTATGCACTCACTAACTGTAAGTCGCTCTGGATAAGAGCGTCTGCTAAATGACTAAAATGTAAATATAATCTTATTCATTGTGATCTAAAAGGCAATTCTGATTGTAGATCAGCAGCACTCCTACTACGAGACACTATGTGAATACGGGCCATTGAGAGGTTGCCCTCTTTTTTTTTCTCTCACACACACACACACCTTGGACTTGTACTCCTTGAGGTCCATGTGGTCCTGATGTCTGTACTGGTTGCTGGTCAGCGGCGCCAAGGGAATAATATGGGCAGGCTTGGCCAGAGCTCGCTGGGCCAGTACTTCAGCCATGATCTCACCACCGAAGTCCGACATACCGTTCCTGGAAGGGCAAAGGTCAAACTCAAGTTATAATCAAGCATTTGAATAACTCAATTGGATATCAATCAAATCGCCAGCCACTCAATCAAAACTGATTTAAAACATTGTTGTTTTGCTACACGAAGTCCAACTCTAGTCTCTTAAACAGATCCCAACCATTCCACTACAGCAGTACCATAGAGATCCTATAGGCCTAATTAATGGTTGGCTAGCTAGCTAGCAAACATACCGAGCAGATATCTACAAATGCATTGTTGTATACAATATTTTACCACATTTGACCAGTTTCCAGAATGAAAGTTGTCCTGACTAAGATGGCTGGCATCCTAGCAACATGACTTAAAATAAAAACTACAGTATGTCAATGAGTAGTACCAACCTCTTCTCTACGATCTCTAGGGTGAGGTGCAGCAGCTCTCTCTTGCTCTTCTCCCTCCTCTTGATCATCTCCAGGATGGTGACGGCTCGGCTCAGGTCCCGCCGCAGTTTCAGCATCTTCTCATACCCAGCCTCCTCGTTCTTACGGTTCTGAGGTGTGCAATTTCACCATTAATTGACTGTCATCTGCTGTCAATAACCCAGAGTAAGCCTATATTTAGTTGAAATGGAAATGTGTAGGGGTATAGGTACATACCACACACTTGGGGCCAGTTTCCTGGACACAGATAAAGCCTATACCTAAACTAAAAACCATGCTCAACAGGAATTTCCATTGACCAGCACTAGGCTTTATCTATGTCCGGGAAACGAGTCAACTAGCCCTTATATGCCCCTGGTCTAGAAGTGGGATCCTACCTTTCTGGTCTGCATCTTCTCCGTCCTCCTGCGGAAGGCCACGTAGGGGTCTGAGGTGCTGGATCCGTCCCTCTTCTCCTGCTTCACAGTGGGATGCAGCGTGCCGTGCTTGCCCTTTTTCCTCTTCCTGGTCCAATAGTCAAACACCTCCTTGATCAGCTCGTCATCCTCCTTCAGCAGCAGCTTGGCCTCCTGCAGGCTCACCGCCTGACAGGTGGAAGAGGTGAGGGAGGAGCAGGGGGGTCACATTTGGGAGGAGGCATGGTCTCTGTCCTGACCCCCTGATTGGAGACCCCACCAAGAGTAACCATCTCTGGTTTCATTAGCGTGACACAGTGTTAGATTAATTTGTATTTTAAGAATAATGACTAAAGGATTTCACCCCAAATACAGTATAAATGTGTGAACGGTGTTCATTCCAGGGTGAAGGGGACTGAGAAAACGGGTTTTAAAAAAGCCTCCTAAAGGTGGGCGGAGCAAAGTGCCTTTGTGTGTCAAGGGGTATAAAACAGGAGTGTATGGGTTTTGGCGCCAGAGCTCTCCATGAATAAAAATACAGATCATTCTTGCTGGTTGTGGACCTTGAATCATTTATGATTAAAACCAGAGCCTTACAACCTCTGGTAATGATTCAAGCTTAGGTTGAATTAGAGATAGAAATTCTCGTGACACACAGCTTGATGTGAAAGACAGTACACCCCCTGGACAGGATGCTAGTCTGACGCTATGACTGCCCATTGCAGGCTGCACCCTATTCCCTGTGTAGTGCACTATTTTTGACCAAGGCACTTAGGGCTCTCGTCAAAAGTAGTGCACCATATGTAGGGAATAGCATGCAATTTGGGACACAGAATCCAAGACTTACCTGCTGCCCACTGCCTTTCTCCAGCCGGTCGACCATCTCCTCAAACTGCAGGAAGGTGATCTCCATCTTCTTCTTTAGCTTGTTCACAAACACCTCGTCTTCTGTGTCCAGGTCATAGTCCGGCTGCTCCGTGTCCAGGGTGAAAGCTACAGGGGTGAGAGGGAAAGAGGGATTTTAGACAGCTAAAGGAGAGGTGAGAACTTTAGACATGAGGATGGGAATGGAGTAGGGCTGGGACGACAAATCGAAAGTTACAGACCATACCGATCACTTATCACAGGCATTTTGCTGATATTGTTCATGACGATAAGTAGCCTATACTAGAGAAATATGAAGTTTGAAATGAAATAAGTTTCCTAATATGGGTGATTGTTAATAAAACAATTGATGGCTACAACAATCAAACGAGTAGTAGTAGTTTAAATGATAATAAAAACTAAACACTGGTGCACATAGTTATAAACTTAGCGTTCCATTTATCATTATCACATAAATTCAGGCAATTTACCGCAATATGGATTTTTGACCAGCTCTAGAATGGAATATCAAAGAGATCCTGGGAGTCATTGTAACTCCCCATCGTGATGGCTAACCGATGAGGCTCACGCTGCTCGGAGTAAATTTACACTCCAGTTCTATTTTCAAGAATTTGGCGTGCGGCTCAAGCCAGAGAACACTTAATAAGGTGGCTCGCGCTGGCAAAAGTTAGGCGTCCATGACACCCCAGTGTAGCTCTCCCGTTACCATTGAGCACACATGCTAATTGTGGTAGCATCACAGTAGCCTGGTGCTTAATCCATTAATCCAATGCATTTCCATTTCAACAGTTGAAAAGAAGAGCTGGCTACTCCCCTTTCCTAGTATGGGAGACCTTCTAGCCCATCTTATCAGTTTGACATAATGCTGACTTATGTTCTGAGCTACTAGTACTTAAATTCTGACTAAAGCCATGGTTGTATTGATTGGGGTAAAGTGATTAATTTACATTTGGTCGGTTCAGCAAATCTGAGCGGAATCAAGCCAGAGAAACTTCTTGGCAGCATCTTGGCAACTGCATTTAATTTAGCCAATTACACTTTCAAAGCCCAAGACAGATGAGAATCCTAAATCCAAAACACACACACACACACCTTCATTTAAATCAATTAATTTAATTCCAATCATGTTAGATTGAGTTTCGGCAGCCTCTACTGATAGACTGGCAGCGAAAACATCAAACAAAGTAACATGAATTAACTCAATTTCCTAGCTATAATGACATTAAAAGTTAGATATCGCAATATTATTTCTGGACAATATAGATATTTGACTCCAAGTAACAATTGTTTTGCTACTGTAGGTAGCATTAGCTAGCACTAGTTGGCTGTACCTGCGCCAAACCCCATCTTTATAAATAGTGAGCCAACAACTTTTCAGAAGTTATTTCCCTGACTGATCAAAACTCATTTTCTCCTGCTCTCTCGTCTCTCTGCAGCAGACATATGGTGAGCAATATGTCTGGAACATCAAATCACAATACATATTGTATCGGCACCTAAGTATAGTGATAATATTGTATTGTGAGTTCCCTGGCAATTCCCAGCCCCATCTCACATCGGACAATAATGACAACAGCCCGGGAAATTTAAATTTAGCTGAGCTCTTATCTTGAGCAATAAGAAATAGTATGATTCATGGACGAGATAATTAGGCCTAATAAATTACTACTACGGCTAGATCCCCCTACGCTTGAGAATTATGCCATACAAGTCCCAACTACTACAAACAAGTGGTGAGGAGGAGGGAGAGTCTACGGAAGCGACTCCACCATTCAAACAACTTTTTACTATTGACAGTTAGAGCTGACTTTGAGATTGTATATCGAGTCGCTCTCCTTCAATATTTTTACTTTGGATGTATTAGTCTCTGAATTGTTTAATCAAACTTTTCACCGCCAGCTCCTGATATCAGGGTATAAACACTACTCCTCATCACTCGCAACATATAACCCACAAATGCTGATCAACACCTCTCCATAAGCCAAGCTGAGGAGGTACGACCAAATCCCAAATGGACACCTAGACCCAACGTACTAGGCACTTGTGGAGCTCTAAGAGGATCCGACAGCTGCAATCAATATGCAAACAGTTCCACCGTGCCCTCCGATAGGCTAGGTGGAAGATCCATCATATTACTTATACCAATCAAATCCTGTCAGATTGCCACAAGTGGATAGGTAGGGTGTTGGGGTCGATTTGGGATTGAGCAGTAGTATAGGGTACTAGGCCTTTCAGCCAGGTCCACTCTACTCACGCTGTATGTGAATAAGCTGCTTTGGCATCTTGAACTCCCCAGGGTAGAGGGACTCGTAGTAGGCGATGTTGCCGTCTGCCTCCGGGACGGGGATGACCATGTTGTGTTTCTCTCCATACACCGACTGGGCCGACATGGCCCTCTGGAGATGGTGTTCCTAGAGAAAGAAAGAAAGGAGTAATAATATAATCTACACATTCAGCAGACGCTTTTATCTGAAGCGACTTACATTCACGCGTGCAACATTTTTCGTATGGGTGGCCCCAGCGGGAAACAAACCCTCAATCCTGGCATTGCAGTCGCCATGATCTATCAACTGTGCCACACAGGACCACAGAGAGGAGTACAAAGACGAGGTCAAATGAATGAACAACATACCTCTGCCCAATAGGCCCTATAGATTTAACAATCAAGTCAGACCACTTGGATAGGTAAATTGATAGTGTCGGCTGGAACTTTGAGGTAACTGACGCCTAGAGAGGAGTACATAAGTCAGAGTGAATCTCAAGCACTGTGACAGACTGCTATCTTATCCGTGAGGCTAGGAACAAATCAAGGGTCAAATCAGTACTGACAGAAACAGCATCTCCTTCACAGAGTTTTCAGGTGATTGTTTGAGAGTACTAGAAAAACAAAGGACTGGAAAATAGAAAAGAAACAGCAGGACATGGCAAGGCCAGGGTAAAAGTGCTGGAATGGTCATCGAAATCACACCGATTTACTAGGCTATTCTCCAGGTGCAGAACCCAAGTACACTTTATATCCAAGGAAATTTGTATGCTTAACTCATACCAGTTTCGGAACAGGAAACAGTCGGTGGTGGTACTTGATTAACGATTATTGAAAAAGTATGGATTTCAGCAAACAAAGAAATGCACGCAACTACAGAGGACAAACATAGGTACAAGGTTGGCGTTTCATAACAAAAATGTTTTTTAAGTATTGACCTTGGGGCGAATCAATGTAATCAGCGCTAGATGATTCCACAATGTCGGCCTTTTACCAGATCTGAATATTTTAACTGATACAATTTCTGTAGGCTACACACACTATTCTGCCCATATGAACAAATGTATTTTAGGCCAGAAAAACAGCCATATGATTTAATGACAATCAGCAAACATACAGGGAAACTCAAGGTATTGTAGCCTACAGTGCGCGGAGGGCGAGTACGCCGTGTTAGACCCTCGCTGGCGCGTTTTGCTCGACAAAAAGCTGCTCACACCCCACTTGTTGGTCCGTATTGACCCCGTTCTGGGTCCGTATTTGGTCCGCGGTCCCCCAGTTGAGTATGGGGGGGGGGGGGGGGGGGTCTAGGCCTATATGACCTTTAACTCGTCTTCTCTTGAAATTAAAGTATTTCATTGAAGATATGAATTGCCACAAACATAATTTCAACAAGTGTTTGCAACTCTGGTCTTTGTGAATTGCAGTATGCCATTTATTTAACTGACCCACAGATTCATTCTTAAAGGCCTAATGCAGCCGTTTTTATATCAATATCAAATAATTTCTGGGTAACAATTAAGTAACTTACCGTTATAGATTCCCATTAAAATGGGCAAAAGTAGCTTTATAGCAAAAAAAACTCAGGCAAAAATGTTGATAGGACTGACTGGGAGTGGTCTGAACGGGAAGTGGAAAACTGAGAAGTAGCTGTTATTGGCAGAGAGGTTTGGAACTCTGTTACCGGTCTATTAACCAATTTACCACAGTGTGATGTCACCATGGAAAGCCGAAACCCCCGCCCATGCAATCATGCTGATTAAAAAAGGTCCTGTGTAGATTGTATTTTTAACCAGCAACTAAGGGTATAATGGTACATTGTGAACCCAAATGAATACACAAAAAATTGAATAATGGTTTGGGGCTGTTTTTCCATGGTTCGGGCTATGTCCCTTAGTTCCAGTGAAGGGATATCTTAACGCTACAGCATACAATGACATTCTAGATGATTCTGTGCTTCCAAACTTTGTGGCAACAGTTTGGGGAAGGCCCTTTCCTGTTTCAACATGACAATGCCCCCATGCACAAAGCGAGGTCCATACACAAATGGTTTGTCGAGATCGGTGTGGAAGAACTTGACTGGCCTACACAGAGCCCTGACCTCAACCCCATCGAACGCCTTTGGGATAAATTGGAACGCCGACTGCGAGCCAGGCCTAAATCACCAACATCATTCCCCGACCTCACTAACGCTTGTGGCTGAATGGAAGTCCCCACAGCAATGTTCCAACATCTAGTGGAAAGCCTTCCCAGAACAGTGGAGGCTGTTATAGTAGCAACTCCATATTAATGCCCATGATTTTGGAATGAGATGTTTTGCAGACCAACAGCAGCCAGCGTATTGGTATTTTATTAGGATCCCCATTAGCTGTTACGAAAGCATGACATAATACAGAACATTCATAGACCGACAGCTCAAGGACAGAACTACATCAATTTAAAAATGGCACAATGGCCTACATATCAATACATACACACAAACTATCAAGGTCAAATAGGGAAGAGGCGTTGTGCCGTGAAGTGTTGCTTTATCTGGGGGGGTTTTTTAAACCGGGTTTGCTGTTCATTTGAGCAATATGAGATGGAATGGAGTTCCATGCAATAATGGCTCTATATAATACTGTACTATTTGTTCTGTATTTGGGTACTGTGAAAAGACCCCTAGTGGCAATTTTGGTGGGGTAAGTGTGTGTCAGAGCTGTGTGTAAGTTGCCTATGCAAACCTATTGAAATGTAACACATTGTTTCCGATAAAAAGAAGTAGTGATGCAGCAAGCTGATAGGTCTGCTGTTAGAACCAGTAAAGGCCGCTTTACCGCTCTTGGGTAGCGGAATTACTTTGGCTTCCCTCCAGGCCTGAGGACAAAGGCTTTCCTCTAGGCTCAGATTAAAGACATGATTGATAGGAGTGGCTACTGAGTCAGCTACCATCCTCAGTAGCTTTCCATCTAAGTTGTCAATGCCAGGAGGTTTGTCATTATTGAGCGATAACAATACATTTTTCCACCTCTCCCACACTCATTTCACAAAATGTAAACGTGCAATGTTTTTCTTTCATTCGTTTTTTTATGCATGATGGCTCACTGTTCGTTGATGGCATTTCCTGCCTACGTTTGCCCACTTTGCCAATTAAAGTAATCATTAAAATAACTGGCAGCATCAAATGGTTTTGTGATGAATAAGCCATCTGATTCAATTAAAGATGGAGTTGAATTTGTCTTTCTGCCCATTATTTCATTTAAAAGTACTCCAAAGTTTTCCCCCCATCATTCTTTACATCGGCTTCATAATACAGTTTCTTATTTTTGTTGAGTTTAGTCATAATTTCTCAATTTGCAGTAAGTCAGCCAGTCAGATGTGCAGCCAGACTTATTAGCCACGCCTTTTTCCCCATCGCTTTCAACCATAAAGTTTTTCATTCCTCAATCCATGGAGCCTTAACATTTAGTTTCTTAACATGTGCATGTTTATCAATAATTGGAAGAAGCAATTTCATAAAGTCATCAAGTGCAGTGTCTGGATGCTCCTTATTAATGACATCAGACCAACAAATATTAAACATCATCCACATAAGAGTCACAGCAAAATATTTTGGGCCCAGCTTTTGGAACTTTGGCTTTGCTGGATATAGCAACTATATTGTGATCACGGCATCCAATGGGTAGGGATACAGCTTTAGAAGAAAGTTCTACAGTATTAGTAAAATTGTGATCAATACATGTGGATGATCTTGTTCCTGTAGTGTTTTTAAACACCCTGGTAGATTACGGACACCGGTTACAGTGAGAAGCTTCCTCTTGAGCGGACAGCTTGATGAAAACCAGTCAATATTCAGGTCCCCAATAAAGTAGACCTCTGTTGACATCACATACACTATCAAGCATTTCACACATTATTTAGAAGTGAACCTTCAACCACAACACTTCAATAACACTTGACATAAGATCTTCTCTAAGCATTACAGGGATATGGCTCTGAATATATACAGCAACACCTTCCCCATAAGCATTCCTGTCTCTATAGATGTTATATCCTTGTATTGCTACTGCTGTATAAAATTAAATTATCTAAGTGCATCTCAGAAATGGCTAATATATGAATGTTATCTGATGTTTGCAAGTTATTGATTTCATGAACCTTATTTCTAAGGCTACATATATTTTGGTCTATTTTCAGCCCTTTCCTGGGTAGCTTATCAGAGATGGACATAATATGGAAAAGAGCAATCAAAGCAAGAGTCCATTAATCAGTTGGTGTGTGTGTGTGCTGTGGGGTTGAAGCTACGAACCCATAGGCTTGGCTCTCTCATCCCTTCCAGGCTTTTGGTAGGGAGGGAGGACAATGAGCTGTCACAGCGGATGTAAGCAATGTCCCCACGCGCTCTGTCAGCTTTCATGGCTGGGATAAGTTCTTTCCTCTTTTGGCGCACAGCTTCCGGATAGTCCTCGTTGAGGAAGATATACATTCCTCTCAAGTTCTTGGCTCTTTCCAGAACAGCTAATTTGTCCTTTAACCTCAGGAACTTGACCCCTATTGGCCTGGTCCTGGACCGGTGATGTGTTTTCCAGTTCTGTGTGCGCACTCCACCTCAATCTTCCTGTGGTCCATCTTCTCTTTCTCCTAGATCATTTCCCTCACTTTGTCCCCAGACTCCGTCTAGGTCTCATGTGGAGATTCTGCAATTCCGTCCACAACCATGTTGTTCCGCCTTGATTGTCCCTCGAGATAATCTGATTTCTCCGTCATTGTTATCATAGATTCACATACAGAACAGATGTCCTCTCTCAATGACTTACAGATAGCTATCATCATGCCATTCTGCTGTTTAAACTCATCAAGCTAACCCTGTGAGAACTGCTAACTGTTCTTCAGGTCCTGGAACGCTGGTCAGGTCGTCCATTATTTTATTAGTTGACTCCACCAGTATTTGGACAAAACACTTGAAGCCATTTTCTTGTTGTTGTAACAACTGCTTGTAGAACTCTGTTCGTTTAAAAGATCCTTCACCTGTGATAGGCCGACACCACTGTCCTCAACGGTACTCCCGCCAGCTTTGGTCTTCGTCATGGTAGCAACGTAGGTTACGTTGTTACT